CCCGCAAACGCATCTGCCAACGCGAGCAACACCTGACACGGCAGGAACGTGCTGCTGTTCATCCCCGCAGCGGCTGGGGATCTATCCTGTCTCTTCTCTGCTGTTGGCTTCTGGTACGGCGAGGTCTCGTTCCCAGCCCCAGCCGGTGTCGCGCAGGTGTCTCGTGCCCTGGACCAGTCGGGGGGAGGATGAGGAGAACGTGCTGAAGCAGCGAAGTGCAGAACGACATCTCTATCGCCCACCGAAGCCACACCCTGGATCCAACCATACATGACGTCTCCTCGCGAGCAGTCGGGGAACGTGCCCCAAGTCTCCTCTCTTCACCTTTCAGGGACGAGCCCTTTATTTTACTTCTGCTTTGATTGTAAGGGTCGTGTTCAGAACAGGAGAGTGCTCTAAAGCCCATTTCGAATAGACTTGTGCCATCTTCTCACTTGCACTCCAAACTCGAAGGAACCTCCAGACACACCTTCGACATAAATGAAGCCAGTGAGGACTGGCAATAGGGAGTATGTTGCACTGGATAAATGACTGACCCAAATACCGTCTAACATCAAATGCATGTTTACCATTCCTTCCCCCTTTCAGGAGCTGACTTCAGAACTGTGACAGCAGGATCCTGAAAACGCCATTTAATCAGCCTTTCCACATGACAGCAGAGTGCTCAGACAGCCCAGGCAAGCATGTCATTGTGTGGGTTTAAAGGAAAGAGTAGGAGTGATTTTTATTAGTTCATCACACTCCTGCATAAAAGCAAGTCTTTATCACAATGAAACAGGCAAATTTCACCACGAACAAAGAACTGAAGGCCATGTGCACTGATTTATAGATTATGTGAACTTGTATTACACCTTTATTTGAGTTGACTTCCAGTCAAGACAATACATAATAAAGAATTGCTTCTTTTACTATATATTTCAACAATAAAGTTTCTGTGCCCAGGAAATAAGCAAAGAAATAACCTTATAGTAAGAGTCTGAAACTGCTACTGAGGACTGACCTATTCAGCTCATAGCCTTTCCAGTCCTGTCCACTGTGTTACAGTACGTTCCTACTCTCAGATCCTTAATTGTTTAATTGATCATCAGAAAAATGAATATAAAAATGAATGTGCTGAAGGGGGAGGGAGGGAGAGGGTCACAATTTCAATGTCATATTCCACAATTAACACTAATGGCCCCGGGTCCAGCTACAACTGCAGAACACCAGCGAAGGGCAAGACGAGGTCCTCAGTGCTTCCCTCAACAGCACAGTCATCTGTCAGCCTGTCAGTATGTGAGGAGGCAGGCGGAAATCATCCTGGACGGGGCTGTTGCCTCAGCTGAGGACCTCTGGATGTGCTCATGGCGCAGTAACAGATTGTCCCTCCGATACACAACTTCACAACTGCTCTTCCTATGAAAGGCTGTGCAAGAGGACATTTCCACGATACACAGCTCTGGTGCTCTTCCATATTGGTTGCTGCAGTCGCAATGGAAGGTAACAGCAATTTCATTATTCCCCCTTCTCCCACATGGCTTCTAGCCCAAGGCATAGGAATTATAATTTCAACACACTCCTAATGAAGTTAGATCTCACACTATAGGTCCACACACAGCACTGAAGACGCCGTGAGTCAGTGAAGCCATCACATTCATATTAATTGCAATATTTCTATGGAATCAGCTCCTTCCTAGTCATTCTGATTCATTTCAACACTGCAAAAAGCACCTACAGGACAAACGCCATGAGCTGATAAAATAGAGGTCACTTTAAAAACTAATCAGAGGAGAGTTAGACAGTTATCATGTCTTTTTACCTCTTTCTTGACATTCGCCATTGGTAGATTAAAAGTACTGCATATCACATTATTATTTTCAACCTGCAGGCTTTTCCATCTTAATAATTCTTATTCTGATCACAGCATCGTAATTATCCGATTCTTTAAAATACTCTCCAAAGCAGCAAGCATCCTTTTCACTGCTGTGATATACACATCTCAATTAGGTTTAAAATCATAATTAACAGCATGAATGAGGGGGAAATGAATAGAACTTAGGCATGGGAATGAAAACTGCCATATGCATATGTCTTTGATGTACAGTGGTATAAGAGCTACAGTGTATTATTGGACTTGCACAACATTATACAGATATTTAAAATATATTCTTATTGCCTTATAATTGTAATTCATTGCTGAGATGATAAAACAACAAAAACAATTGAAAGAAAGCAAATTAAAGCTGTTTCTTCACCATTAGAGAGGGTAGCTGAGGGATATTAATTTTAACTTCTGTGACATGCAAAAAACGGCACAGTTTTATTGTGACTCTAGTATTGTTAAAAAACCCAGCTTGTCCCTTGTTGTGGACCTGTGTTATTTGTTAATTGTTTTCAATGCATATCCAGTACCCTTCCAGTGAAAGAAAGAAATGAAAATATAAAGCAATATGAATTCCCTTTTCCTTTATGTTTTAATTAACCGTGAATCTTGTCTGTGAATGAAAGTTTATTGTTCAGTTGTGTGTTATTAATCATCAGTCACTATAATTCAAAATATTAAACATTAACAGAACACAATGGACATCAGAAATGGTCATTGCTTTTGTTCTCCGGTTATTAAATTCTAAATTAAAATAAATAATTCAACAGGACTGTCAGAAGTGATGTGTGGTGCAGCGATGTTCGTCTGAATTCAGGTACCATGACAACCATCTTTACAGCCTTTTTCAACAGCACACTTTCCATTCGCTACGATTGCCAAAGCCAACAGCAGACGTCCAGAATCATCAATTAAAAGTCCATCTCCGCACAGGCAGATACATTTGCTAACACACATCACATATCCCAGCTCCTCTCTGCATCTTCGCACTTTCCTCCTTTTCTCTGGCTTCTCCTTATCTTTACTCCTCCTCTTCTGTTCCAAAATGTTCTTTCCCACTGTGGCATCCTTTGGCCTTCCTTTATCTTCCCCAAAAAACTGGATGAACGTCTCCTTTTGTCCGACGGTGAGAGTGTTGTCAGCCAGTCCTGGTCCAGGAGGCTGGTGTGTGTGCTTTCAGGCATTTCTGCAAGTTCTTTACTCAAAGGGTATCTCATGTGTTAAAACTGACACAGATTATTTTAAACGTGAAACAAAACTGCCAAGTTCTCGAGGCAAAATTCTGCACCCAGTAGAGTACTGTGCTCATAGTCACTCGTTTAATTTTTATTACATAAGAGTTCAAAATGCAACGAAATTACCTCACCCTGACAGTGGGGAGAGAAGTGTTTTCACTGTCTGTGCTCTGTGACAGACCAGTGAGCTCTGCTGCAGTTAGACTGCCTCACTGATTCAGCATTCTTTAGATCTCAGCCCATTCACTGACATGTTGAATCCTAGAATGGACCGAGTGTCTCTGCAATGTTAATTTACGGCAGTTGTGCCTTTAAGTTGTGGCTTCGGTTCAGTGTCAGCATGAAAAAAAACACAAAGGTGTAAATTAAAGATGAAACCTCAAACGGAATGGATTCAGAAGCGATGGTGTTTGTTCTCACTGCTGTACCTGCGCACAGATCCCAATAACAACACAAACCAAAGTCCATTACCGCTTCAGCGCTTCCTGGCTGAAGTAGAACAACTTGCTGCTTGTGTTTTCCCCTCTGTGAAGGAGGTAATAAGCATGGCGTCACTACAGCGTGAATGTTTCTAGCTCTAATTAGTACTGTAATTGTCAAGGGCAATCCTGGGAATGTGGGGGGGGTGTCTTGTACAGCAGACAGCAGTGTTTTCTACCTCCAGGGCAGGGTGCGGCCATATTGTGTAAGGTACAGTCTCTTGGTATTGCAGGAACAGAAATATCTGCGCACATCCATCATCGCTCCAGAAGTCTTTCGAAAATCCATCATCTTGTCAGCATCGCCTGTAGTAAGCGATCAACCACTTAATGTACAGCTTTGTGTTTATTAAATTTTGTTTGCCAGCAGGTTCACTGTGTCAAGCGCGCTTTAGTCATAATTCCTAAATTAGAAAGACGCATATTCCGTCTCTGTCAGCAAAGGATGCCGGTGGTCCAGGAGCCGTCATTTTATGTAATCTAACAGCCCCACCACCACCAACCCCAAATTTTTTTTGAAAAAAAGTGAAAATGGAAAGCAGTCTCATCGGGTAGCACAAAGCCGGCGGGCACCCAGATGGGCGAGAGTCCAGCGCCCCCAGTCCGCCCATGACGTCACTCCGGACCGCGGCTCGAGAGCTGCCGCAGCGAGCGGACAGACCGGACCCGCAACCGAGCAGGCCGGCCGGGCCGTGAGGCAACCCCGCAACACCGCTCTCGGCATACCGCCGCCTGGGGGTCCTTTCGAGCGAACACCTCCATCACTAGGCAATTCCTGCAAGCTGCGGGACCAATCGGACAGACATCCGCAACAAAGTGGACATTTCCGACACAGTGTTTTCTTTTCCGTGCTCCCGTTTGTGAATAGATGCAGCTCCCGGCGTTACAAGCAAACTTCACAGACCATTAATTATTCTCCCACATCCATTACCGCTGCGAACAGCGTCGATTCACACTTTAGACCCCCACGGACAAACTGTACTTCAATGTTTGACTAACCGTTTACCAAATCAACCAAGCACGTGTTTGAGCTCCCCCTTTATTGGAGAAAATAACAAAATAACGATAAAACCAATAACGTGCTCTTCACCGCAAACACCCAGGTAGAGACGCGTTACCAAACATCATTTTCATGCTGTGAAGATGATCAGCGGGAAGTATTTCATTGCCCTTTCTGCCCAAGAAACTGTCAAAAAGCAAAGGAGATTTAAATGCCCACAAAATCACATACCTAACTGATCAAACCGATGTGCGAAACAAATAACGGTGATTTTTTACGGATTACGCAAAATAAATAGGACCGCAAGCGTCCCGATTATCATTAAAGCAAGCGTGATCCTTGTTTCCAGCTATAACCCCGTTTATTAACAATGCCCTCAACCATCGTTCGGTAATTAACGTGAGAAACAGAGATAAAGGTCTTACCCCTATAACGACCGTGTCATCGTCCTTAAATTTGGGGATGTACTTGTCGCCCCTTACGATCTCGGCTGCATTTAACGGCCGGAATCGGCACATCACTTTGATGCTGCATTCGGCTGGGTCCGCCATCTCAGTCTACCCCAGCAAGAGCGCAATAATGCAAAGTTTCCTTCACAACCTCTTCAGCAAAAGCACGGACAGACTGCGCCGGGGAGGCCCAGGAGAGTCGCGTCAGCCTCAGAACACCATGGTCGTCTGCTGCAGATCAGCTGTTCCCCTTCATGCCCACCAGCCGCTCGGCTCTGCAATCTCCTTGCATTGAAAGGTGTGACAAGAATGCATCTATACAGACATGTATTCCTGCGGACAGCACTCAAGTCCCTGCAGGCAGGCTGAAGCCGCGGGAGGCGGGGATGCAGTGTCCCCCTGTGTTGGAGAAGCCGGTGGCAGCTCAGAGCTCAGGAGTTCAGAAATCGCATCCTCCTTCGCGCTCCGTCACCCCGCAGCAACAGCACCGGGCACCTTCCCTCCTCTGGATCTGCCTCCTCCCCTGCTCCTCCTCACTCTCACTCTCACACACACACATACACACACCGGCTGGCGTGGCGTAGCCTTACATCATAAACTCCGTCGGTTCACCTAAGTATTCTGGGCAACGTAGTTCTTCTGCAGAATCCAGTGCGACCTTCCTTGAACTTGAACGTGAACTTTACTGCCGTGGGTAACCGGTTCTGGTACAATGGGATTCTTACGGAAAGTCTCGCCATTGTCAAAAAAACAAAAGGTGTAAAACACAAGGTGTCATCCGCCAATGTAATGACGCGGTTGCCGCTGTGTCCCGCTGTGCAGTCGTGAGCGGACAGGGCGTACTCGCCTGGACTCAGACGGCAGCCTTTCTGAAGGAGCCGCCAGGTCCTCCACAGCGGCCCAGGTGTTAAGCTCTGTGGAAAATGGATGACAACAGTCTAAACGGATTCCTCCCGGAGTACAGGGGACATGTTTCCGGAGAGTGAGAAAAGCAAAAGCTAAAAATACAGCATCTGAAAAGGTTCAGCAACTCAATTGTGAAAACAGAGGGATTAAAAAAATAAACAACAGGATGCAGGTTAATGAAATTAGTATGCTACAGGATATTGTAAGCCAAGGATATCAGAAAGGCCAAGAGAGAAATTGAAGGGAATATTGTAATAGAGGCTAACATAGATGAGAATAAATTCTTCCAGTACCACAAAAGCAAAACAAGCACATGAGGTAAAATCCATTAGGGACAAAACTGGTAAATGTCTAGACAAGGAGAGGGAAATGGCTGATGTACTGAACAAGTTTTTCACTCAGCTGCTCATTAGGGGCCTCTGGCAGTGGAGGGACAGAGTTCTGTATCAGCACAGAAGAGGCAGAAACCTTCTGGGAACTAGAAACACAAGAAACACATCATTTAACATGCGGAAACTGGCCTGTTCGCTTGATGTGGCTTTTATGTAATTAAGACAAATTCCATGATCTTTCTGGGATTTGGGGACCAAGCGGAGAGATTTACATTTTAAGGAAAGTAATGTCCAATTAATGAATTCTTGCTGCTGTGTGTTTTCTGAAGGTTTGAGGTCTACCTCACTGGCTGCAGAGGCCAAGTCGGGCTTGGCTGGATCAGGCCTGGGATGGCAGACCAGGGTGTTGGTGGACCAGCCAGTGGTTCTGAATTTCCAAACCAACGACACACGATCACAGCAGAGGGCACCACTCTGCTGTAGAAGCATCCGTGCGGTTCAGCTGAGGTCCTGGCTACTCGGTCTTTAAAAGACCCCTTCAGTTAGGAAGCATTTTGCTGCACAGAATGGCTGCCGCATGGTTCCCAAGGTGGGGAATGCAGTGGGGTCCTCCTGTATGTGGAGCTCTTAGGAATGTGCTCATATATTTTATATCAATTCAGAAAGTTATACAAATGAACAAAATTATTATTGCACTTCTACATACCAGTTGGTAAAACAACACTTTTTAAGGACTTAAACAAGAAAAAAGCTCGCCACTCCACGTGAAGGGATCAATTTCCAGGAACCAGGCTGTTTCGCTGCCGGCGCGGTCTCAAACGCTAGCAGATACAGCTAGATTGTATCTTTCAGCAGGTTGCAGGACACGTCTCTGAAACAAGAGGCCTCTTTGGAAACAGCTGGAGGTTCTGAAGCAAATTGTATTGTAAAAAAAAATGTGCAGCGTGGAGAACTGTGCATGTATGTCTCTCTGATTGCAGGTTTAGAAACATGCTCTGCCACACTGACACCCCCTTGCTGCCGAGCTTGAATGAAGCAAACGTGATATGAAAAGCACGACTTGAATTTTACCTTAAGATAAAAAAAATGTACTTGCCGTTTAGAAATTATACTGTTCAAATCCAGATTTATTTCAGTACTAATCAGGAATGCTTAATGCTTCCTCATAGGAGTGCCACCTACTGGTTAAATTGCATGACAAGGTGCTCATTCGGAATTGAATACAGAAAATCATACCTCGGCTTCTCTGCTAGTGGAAACCATACCGTTTAATACCATGCAAAAAAAAAAGGTGATCTTAAAAATTGCCAAATAGCAAAACAAGCTGGTACTACGGTTAGGAACCGTCTCTCTTCTGAGGAACAACCACCAATGTACAGACAGCAGCCCCGTTGCAACTGCATTTTGAGAACTGCTGCTTTCACCCTGCACCGGGTTTTGACTGGAGTGCATGGAGAAGAAGCTTAAAGAGCTTAGCAGTAGTTGAGCACCAGAGTAGACCCAGAATGAGAGAACGGGATTTAAAGCTATAGTGACAACAGTAGGTGGCAGCAAAGCCAGTAAGCTGTTGTAAACTGATGGCAGAACTGTCCATCGTTCTAACATGTGGAGTCTTTAGCTGTAAGCTTAACTCTGTGGTCCCAATTTCCCTGCTATATAATGGATACAACTGCCAAGTTCTATTATTTGTCATTTGATCTCGGGGAGATGCCACCTGCTCTTTCTTGACTTCTCCTAAGTGTACAAATACCCCCCCCCCCTTACAGAAATAAAAATCTGTAAGCGTAATGCCTTGACGTGCAGGATAACACAAACGGACACTTTTGGAAACTTTAATCTTCCTGAAACTGCACAAGAACGGCTATACGGGATAATAGGAGACCGCTGGTAATAACATAGCTGACTGGATTTATTTTCAGTAACATCGGTATGAAATTGGAACCAAGGTAATAAGCACTGTATCCTAGCAGCAATTCTCTCATCCCTATAATCCGAATTTTCACCCCTGAAACGAACAACAATCAAAAACACAGCTTCCCAGAACCAAAACTGATTTTCTTACCCCACCAACAGGTGCTCAAGGAAATGTTAGATGCGTTTCTTTAAAGAAACAAAAGAATCCAGGGCGAGTTATTCTTCGGTGAGGAATGAAGACATGGAATCGATTCTGATATGTATACTTTTTTTATTTCCCTGCATTTCGTAATATATCCAAGTACAAGTAACAGGGAAAATGTGTCTGAAGTAGTGCATAAACTAATAGTTGCCTAAACATTTCTATAAATCTTTTTACAGGAACTCACTACACCACTACACTACGTTAAGGGAGGCCTAGCGCTGATCATCAGACATGTTCTTCCTCACCTGTTACTTGCCTTGTCGCCACAGGAAAGAATACAAAAAATCTGAAAGGATGAGCAGTCGTGACAAGTACCCCCCTCCCCCCCAAGATTGGTTCGACAGGTTTCAGATAGTCTCCAAATACCCCACATACTAGTATTGCCCTTACCTGTGGAAGATTTATTGGCTTGACCTCGGCAAGTTTTAAAATGCAAATATATTAATGAGTTTGTTTTTATACATTTGCAAGAATGAGAATGTAGAATGCATAAATCTGTCATTAAAAATTTAAATAGGTCCTATGGATACAACAGCTTGTTTTTACACCAAAAACTGTGTTACTGTAACTTTTACAACATTCAAAAAAAGGACAAATAAAAATTTAAAATAAAAAATTAAAAAGCAATCCGTTCCCCATTGCCCCTTCAAAGTAATAGAAAATACCTGTCTTAATGAAAAATGTCACTAAACTTGTTACCAAAAGACCATCTATATTCAATTTGTGAAACCAAATGAATCAAGTGAAATACATTTTTTTAGAAAAAAAGTACAAGAACTTTATATGCTAACTATGCGAATCTCAATATTTTTGTAGACACAAAATCTGATTTGTACAAGATACAAAATGTAAACATTGCAAAATAAATAGTTAAAACAAGTGACATAGGATCCTTTCTCATGCTCATGATCCCAAAACAAACTGTTGCACATTTTTTCCTTTCCATTCAGTTGCATTTTCGAGTGCAAAAGCATGATGACAAATATCTAGAATTCAAGTAACAGAAATAACATACTAATGATACAAATATACTATTTTACAAGGTAGTGATCTTCCCAATTTTACAAAATGTACATTTATATATTGACAAATTAACTTAATATGTTGATATGCTGCTATTTCATATAGGTCCATGTAAAGCCCCCCTGCGAACTGTAGAGGGCGCACAGGTTTTGCATTCATTCTGGGAAATGTGTCAACTGCTGGACATGGGAGCACGGTCCGTGATGTGGGCTATGTGACCTCCATCGCCACTGTGGTCTCCGATATTCCATTCAAAGCAAGTCTTTCAGGCTCATGACTCTCCCTGAAACAGAAGGGAGAAAAAAACCTCAGACATCCAACATCCAACAAGTCGATACAATGACTTTACATTAACTGTTTCACGAAGAGGAATTTGGACTATTACATCTCCACTATCCAAGGCAAAATAAGTTCCTTACAAAGCAGTTACGGCCTTTGCCTTTCATAAACAGCATGATCTGTTTTTCTTTAATCCCCATCTCTGAACTGGCTTCATTACTCTGCTCTCCTCCCCACTGAGAGCTGGTGTGTGGGGAGCGGACTGGTGCACTTTGGCTGGGGGCTGCACACTGGTGGTGGTGGAGGGGAGCCCCCATTGCCTGTCAAGCGCTTTGAGTGGAGTGTCCAGAAAAGCGCTGCAAGGAGTTATAAAACTTAACGCCTAAGATATATATTAAAAAATCTCATTGACTTGCCTTGCTATGCTGCTGATGGCACTACTGGGCGTCACCTTTGGCACCCTGTCCAGGGGAGTTGCCACAGTGGCAAGCTTTAAGGCAGATGGCGAGGGCGCGGAAGTCCTTGTGCTGAGGTGCATGTTCACGGGCGAGACCACGCTGACGTTGCTCAGGTGAACCGCAGTAGCCAGGCAGGAGCTGTTCCCAGGCAGCGACTGGGGGGTACTTGTGCACAATGCTGGGATGAGGTGGCTGGTGCTGCTGTGAGGGACAGTCCTCAACAGCTGGACAGAGGAGATTGCTGGAGTGGTGCTCAAGGTTGTGCTGGTGGAATGAAGAGTTTTAGACGTCCCTGGGAAGCAAACAGGAACAGACCCAAACAGCTTTTACGCGATTCAACCACACACCGGACTATCAAACCTGCCCTTACATGAACAATAAAGAAAAAAATATATACTCTGTTTATAAAGAAGAAAAGTGGAATTTCATAATTTTCACTTAACAGCATAAAAATGATTTCTTGTAATACAAACACAATTGCAACAGGCGATGTGCGTTAACAGACAGGTTTGATGAAAAGGGACAAAGACTTTTCTTTTTTCTTTTCCATTCACAAATGTGCCATTAACATGTGACCTGCCCTGCGAAAGCCCGGAGCTACGCGGTTCGTCCTCAAGACCACGCGGGATTCTGGCTTTTCCTTTCCTGCAGCGTCATCCAGGACCTCAGCCATGCAGCCGATCAAGACTCATGCTGGCCATGACACTCGTTAAGTTCTCTCTGAACTTGACAGCAGGGCACGCACTGCACGCACTGCTTACAAGAACAGTGGCACGAGCCTCAGCCCTCAGACGTGACCTCGCGGAGTCCGACTGGGAGACGGCGGGGCACGTCAGTCAAGAATCACCTGAAGTTTGGACAACACCATTGACACTGATGCTGTGCAGTCTGTTGTCTTTACTGGCCTCACTGCAGCCTGGACCTGGGGCAGTGACCACAGCCGATGCAGCAAACTGGGCACTGGCTGAATCAAGGGTCTTGGACATGCAGTCAGAAGTGCCCGATACCTGTAAGACACCAAACCCAACGCAGCTTGTAAAGCAACCTGGAGGAAACCTGCAGTTAGTAATCGCAAAATGTCCATTTTTTTTGTAGACCAGAAGTATCGTCTAGTTCCATTTACTCCTACTCATTGGCGATAGCATTGCAGCATCAGCAAAGAAGTCTCATCAGCAAAATAAAGGTATTACAATGTTCTTTATAGGTAGTGTTAGTAACAGATGTTTTGAATGTTGACAGTGACGCAAATCGTAATTATAACGTTGGCTTATTGTTGCCAATTCCATTCAAATCAGTGAAGTTTACATGTATTTTTTGTGTTGTTCCATTTTAGTCCCTGAGTGACTTCAATATTAGCAGAACTTTGGCGATGGTAAGAAATTGGTAAAGACATATCGCAGCATAAAAATTGCATAACTTAAAAGTTCTGAAAATTGAGCTGATAAACCTGTATAGTGTGATGCTCGGGGTGGGAGGAATGCTGGGATTGTTGCTTCTGTTGGAGCTGTGCCAGCTGCTGCTTCTGCATCTGGACCAGCTGCTGCTGGTGGGTGTGGAACTCTTCCTCCGTGATTCCTCCTGCAACTGACGAGCAGCATCAATGAGACAAGGCAAACACCTGAACTTATGAACAGAGACCGTGTTTAGTTTTGCTAGGAAAACCCACTTAAAGTGCAGACTGATCATTCATGACACAAGAAAGCATGATTATTCTCAGCTGGGTTATAGCCTATCTGGATCATTTGGTTGCTAGCACTTATTTGGTTCAAGGCTCTCATCCACCTCCAGCTTGAAGAGGCCAGGGTAACAGCTTCAACTACATGGCTGGGTAGCTTGGTCCAGACTCCCACAACCCGTTGTGTAAAACTGTCCTCCCGATTCAACCTAGATTCCATTTCACTGCTGGTTCTGAAGTATTCCCATGGGTTTACTTTTTCAATGCCTTTGAGAACTTTGAATACTTGTATCATGTTCCTTCTTTATCTTGGGAGACTTCAAAGTGTCAGTTTTTTTAGTCTGTTAAAGTGGGCCATTACTTTAAGCTCTGAACTAAATCCATAGCAGCAGTAATTTTCTGTACCATGGTGACCAAGACTGTACATACCACACTTGTAAGACATAATTATACAATTTTAACATAACACCCCTTTATCTCAATTTCCAAATTTTTTCTATACCTCATAACTTTAGGCTTTTTTATTGTTTGGTCACATCGTCTAGAACCTGGAAAACACGTCAGATCGTTTTCTTAAGTAGCTTCTTTGAGATAATGGCTCCCACGTTTTGGATTTTGGACAGGCTTGGTTTAAGTAACTGCATGTAATATTCTGCACTCTACGACATTAAAAGTAATCTACCAGGTGTTTGCCCGGTGTTGACATTTGCATTTAATTTCCCTTGCAGCTTCTACATGCAGCATTCCCTAATTTAGCCGTTTTAGCGTCATCTGAAAACCTGACTAGTTACTATGCATCAGAATCAAGATCAGTTACAGAAACTAGGAACAGCAGCGGGGATCTCAATACGAATCCCTGTGGTACTCCAGTAATTCGCAATTCGAGTGCTCATCCCTTATTTGTACTCTGTTCTATTCACAAGGATTATGTGAATGCCTACCACCTGCAATTTAAGAATCTATCGTAAGAATCATCAACAAAAGCCTTCAAAAGACCATTTTTCATTGCAGACATTTTCATATGTGATGTGTTTTATTCTCTAGGGCACAGATAATAAGTGCCACCAATCTGATATTTCAAAAATAACCCTCTACTTAATGATCACAAACTACAGAAAAATGGAAGCTGCAGAGGGGAAAAAGCCAAAAGCTACTATTCCTTTCATTATTGTTGTCAAGTCACTACAGAGTCCTGCTTTAATAATCAGTGCAGACATGTTAATACTGAATGTAACTCTGCTGCAGTTCTACACCGCAATCAAGCCTTTAAAATGTAATAATGACTTTGAATTCCCGGTGATGAGTACATCAGTACATTTTTTTTTTTATCCTTCCAAGTCAAGGTTCACTGTTAGGTCTTTATGCAGGTCTATGAGGACCGGAGACTATTCATCCCCACCTCAGCTCTGTATTTCAGATTAAGTTTTTTTTTTTTAAATTACAGCAATCTCTTTTCTGCTGTTCAAAGAGTGAGAGCCATACAACAGCATCAGAATTTAGGAACATTTACAACCTTGAAAACAATCTTCATGGCAGAACAGATCCAGCACACTTTTCAAAAGGAGGAAGTGAATAGATCACAAAGCAGTCTTGTGAGTCTGTAATTGCACTGGTTTTCAGAGCACTTATATGAAATGTGTTCCTTCGAATAGTCCTAAATTAGAAAGGCATAAATCACAGTTTAAAATAATTTTCTAACCTAGTTCTTTTTTTTGCCAGTTTTGAAAATCATGTTTTTTTGTGTATTCTGAAGGGACAAACTAAGTTGATGTGTCCCTCAGATCTGAGTAAGTTTTAACACAAACACCTGTAAATAATGTGAAAGCAAGCTGCAACAGATGTCTTGGCACAACTTAGTATCCAGAGCCCTTAATTTTATCATTTTAAATGTTTGTCTTTACTCTTCATGAAATCACACTTATCAAGAAACACGAATAGTTGGGTCTAATATCTGTTCTGTCCTGAAAAAAAATATTTCTGAGAAATGACAAAGTCGCTGTGGCAGATGCAGGCTGACGGAAACTGTTGTGGTTCCTGTCTCACAGCAGGCGTTGTAGCTCGGCAGGGTCACAAACACAAGCGATTCATGATGCACAACGCGCGCCAAGCAGGTGCTAGGTCCAGGGACTCCAAACAACTAAAAATCCGAGTCATACCGGTTCCTAACTCCCTGAAAAACCAGTTCCTTCTAGTCACTTTTTTCAGTTGCAACTATTCCAAACTTCCACTGCACAGTTTAGGAAACACGGCCCAAGAATCCTTTGGCAGCGCAGATAATCCTCTAGCGCAGGTGTAATTATCGCCTTCTGTAACCACGCACGTAAAAGGAAACTGGTCTGAACTTGAACCCGTATTGTTGCCCCTTTTTATGGATGAGTGCTACATTAGCAACTCAGCACTCAATGGTTATTAGTCCTGTTTTGGGTGCATGAAGAGCTTTGTTAATTCTGCAAAAAAAAACGAGACTTAAGTACGACTGACAGAATACTGACGTTTTACCATAAGTGCTTCTAATCACTAAAATGCTCCTGTTTCTTTTACTCTGTTAATAATTAGCTTATTTTGTTAGCAATGATGATGATACTGGATAAAATCTGCACTTGGTCTTTGTCAACCTGGGGCATGGTCTAACAGTTTTTCATCATTACTGCCAACCACACTCCATCCTTCATTGTTCTTTTGCAATACTGAGAAAATGCATACTCCAGCCTCCACTGTAGCACTTTCCTCCCATCAGTAACAATTTACTGCACTCCACTCCTTGAACTGGATATTGTTCTGTTTAATCACTTCACCTAGTGCTATTTTTCTCCTTAGATTTTTCTTTATGAAACCATTTTCTCAAACAATCATTCCTTCATAGCCCATTTTCCTGAAACTGGAAACCCATCTTTCGGATCACCTTACCACCATTCAAAAAGGACTAGATTAATACACAAGTAAAACATCCTCGTTTGACAGTGCATACCGCAAAGAACCTTTTTTTTTTTAAACTACATCATTAACATATACACTTTATTAAAAATATTCAAAAGCACCAATATTATTATGCTCCAGTCCTAAACTTGACTCTTAAGCAGCAACCTCTGTACCTTGCCTGGGAGCCAGGAGACATTGACGAGCCTCACGTTAGCCCGTACAGCCATTTGTCATGGGCAGGCTCTGCGGCACCTGACGGGTGGAGAGGTACTGCTGTCACTGACCTCCCTTCCCTTCGTCACCGAGGCAGCCACAGGCCTCAGGACTCTCCGATCACAGAAAGCCAAGAGAGCCCTGGCCAGCGCATACCAACACCAGCCCAGCAGTCATTGGTGTGCCCAGACCCGGGCTCATGGGAGCAACATCTGGATTCCTCAGCAAAGCCCAGGAAGCATCTTTACTGGGTGAGCAGCTCAGGAAATGAATTAAAATGCCTGCCACTCCAACAGGCCGTGCTGGAGAACACTAAGCGATATAAAAACGGCGATACGGGAAACAGATACACCGTCACCCTATTGGTCACGCGCGACCCGAAGAGCGTTTTGCACACGTGGTCACCAGTGAGAGTTTTTGCCGCCACAGCGAACCACCCAGAACATCGTAAGCCACGAGGCAATGACACCACAAGGAAGCGCACGACGACCTGCGTCACTGCCGCAACCTGATCCCGGTTCCAGCCCCTCCCTGGTTTCTACTGGTCAGCTTCCGCTCCTGTGGAACATTCTGGACAGGCTCACCGGCAGGGAGAGTGCACACGCTGACAGAAGCGCCACAGTGGGGCAGCGACTCAAGTGTTAAAAAACAGTGTCGGAATACACTCTAGAGTCCATGACTTTGAGCTTTGTGGAAAAGCAAGATATGGAATAAAAAGAGTGAATTTTTTACTTCTACAATGATATACCGAGAATATTACAATTTTACCATATTCGTTACCTTTTGGTTTAATAAACCAGCCTGCATGTAACAATAGTTATGAATATATTTAAAACAAATGAAATCTTTTAATTAGTCATCACAATATGCCAGATGAAAATCCCGTTTGTAAAATGACAGAGAAAAGGCGGCGATCACCATTCGAGCCGCTGATCGCAGCTGAACAAGCGGACTGCTCTGATTGGGACCAAACCAGTTAGAAACATTTATCAGCCAGTATGAGATGTGCTGACATATTAGTGACTGAAAAACAGTATATGGAAAAAAAAACAATGGAGCAATAAAAATGCCTTTTTTTAGTTTGCAAAAGAAAAGTAATCTAACGTTGCTTCACGGTACAACATCTGAGGTTTTGCAAATTAAACGTGGGAATATTCTACAAAACAACTTGACTAACTATTTTTGTAATGGAGAATGTTATGGCTTGCAATATGATTTCTGCACTTACTTGGACATCTTAAAGGTACTGAGGTACTACAGCAAGTAGTTCAGCATGCTGTACCAGAAGAGAGCACAATGAAAGTGGACAAAAGGAATGTTTCTCTGTAGAACTATCTCGGCTGATCCACAAACACTTATCTGAAGCGTTTTACATTTGCACCTATTTAGATTTTATAGAAATTTCATTTATACAATTGCACTTAGCTGGGTACTTTACTGGAACGGTTTGTGTGAAGTGGCTTGCTCTAACAACAGCAGTGCTTTTACCTGGGATCTGAACCCACAGCCTTTCAGTTACACATCCATTTTTACACCGACCCTTCTGAGGGGAGTAGGAATCAATAATGCCATTTCAAGGTGATGTCTTTCCCCATTTGTGCTAGGGTAACTAGTGCAAAACTTCCACGCTATTAACCTTGATATAACTGTGACAATCAAAATAGCTTCTACTGTTCATGAGCTGTGTTCAAGCTCATTGGTCAGTCCAGCCATATAAAAGAATACAGAGGAGCGAGATATCGTTCTCCAGGTCTACGGTGCGAATACAGACAGACGCTGACAAGATAAGAAATTAACAAAGTTCATATTGATATGAACTTCATATCAATATGAAGCGATATGAAGTTCTACGTAAGATATCTATAAGATGTATATGCAGTCACTCCAGCATTAGACTACTATTACTAACATAAGCATAATCAAATCTAGACTCAGGGCAAAGTCAGAAATGTAGCTACAGATCTGTGATGCACAGTTTCTGATCACATTCCTGTAAGTGAGCTGCTCTAGGGGAGTTAACCAAATCTAGACTCAAAACCTTTTTTAGAAGGGTTTATATTTAACTGGTCCCACCTGCCCCTTTACTTCTGTATTTCAAACCCCTTTTCTCTCTGTAAAGCACTTTGAGAAGCCACTTTTAAAAGGTGCTAGACAAAATAAAGTTTATCATCTTGCTATTTCACACTACCTTTTCATTTTTATATGGCAACGTGTCGTGCTGAAGCAAATGCTGAACTGAACACCCGTGTCAAGATCACTGTTCACCCAAAGGCCTGTAAAATGAGCCAGCGACGGTAGTCCTACAATTTACCGCACAGCCACTAAAACTCGTAACTTGACGAGTTACAGACGGATGAAATTCTGAAGTTACGTTACAGCTAGCAGTTTGCCAAAGAGCCTGCAGCCACACAGGGCAGTTAAGACAAAAGAACTACAACCACGTACATTTCATCAATTCAACTGCTTTAATCTGGTCACCTTACAAATACAACCGTAAATGACAGATCTGCACAAGTGCACATAGAAGGAGTCAAGTCAAGTCACAGAACTTGAACATTTTCCACCCAATGTGCTCCACGGGTGAGTGAAGCTGCCCTGGGCACCAGCACACTTAGGAAAGTGATGGCTGTCCTTGGAACAAGAGGTTCGGTCCAAAACACTTCCTACACCAGCCCCTGCGGCTCCAGTCGTCCCAAGCAGGTAAGGAGGCAGCAGGCTCAACACCACAGATAAGAAGCACACTCAAACTATGTTAGTTTGGTGCCAGAATTCATTTGCCTGTGCCTAAATCTCCTCTGTGAAGCAGCACCCTGCCCAGCGACCAGCAGCCTTTTCTTCAGAACAAAACCTACAGCACTTCAATATGACGACAACTGAATGTAAGACGAGCTTGCACTTAAAACTGTACTTGACTGAGTTGTCCTATTTGATAATTGCTGTATTATTTTGCACTGTTTGCATACTTTTTCACAGTTTTTAACAGATATGGGTACTGTCACACTAGTACTGTACTCGTTGTTTACATTGTTATTGTATTTGCTCTCTATTGTCTTGTCTGCTGTTCTGTAGGTACTGCACCAGAGAAACACTTTTCATTATACTATGCACCTGTATGAGTATAATGACAAAGTTGAATTGAAATGCGCATCCATGGTGGCAGTGAATGAGACCCAGCCTTACTTCTTAGTTCACCTATCTGGTGCAGTGATGCCAGGAGACGTTAGCAAGAAATATGACACAGGTTATTCTTTTCAGACACAAAAAGGACAAGATGATTAGCCCTGCGACCACCTGCTTTGTGTCTTTGATAAGTAGAGCCGCTCAATAGCCAAACCATGTGACGCTCTTCACACTTCTCTCTCAGGAGTTCAGAGTGTACTTCTTTTCTCTTTGAGCTACACCAGTACAACCTGCTAGTGTAAAAAATACTCTTACGCATTATGAGCTCTTAGCAAACTGTTTTAAAAACAATAAGCCTTACCAGCAGATACTTGCCTGCAGGGGAAGTATCTACTCCTGCCATAATCTGAGTGAAAACATATTACAAAAATTACATTTCATGCCACCGATATTAAAACCATTCAGGTTTAGCGTCTACCCAGCAACCTAATAAAACCAGCAACTGGAAAACTG